AGTAATATAGTTTGATCAAGTTTGATCATGCAGTAGAGGGAACCACTAAATTTATCAAAATAATATAATTTGATCAAATATAATGACATGAGTTTCATGGCTTTTTCACCCTTTTGCCCCTCATTAATTATTTAATAACTATTTTGCCCCTTATTCAGAACTATCTACCAATCTGTCCCTCTTTAATCGATTAAGCCAAAAATTTAATCGATTAAATGGTCAAAATATGCAGAAATCGTAGACTTGAAGATTTAGTCGATTAAATCTCTCTATTTAATCGATTAAATCTCCCATGCATAAGGTTGTTCTTCTGATAAAGAGGAAGATTTAATCGATTAAATCTTCATTTGAACATTTAATCGATTAAATCTTCAATTTAATAGATTAAAGAGGGACAGATTGGTAGATAGTTTACAATAAGGGGAAAAATGATTATTAAATAATTAATTAGGGGCAAAAGGGTGAAAAAGCCCGAGTTTCACCCATGGAATTAGAGTGGCATGTGTCATTTCAGTTGCGTTTGAATACGAAAGCAAATGCTTATTTTAATGGGAAATGCTTTTCTTATTTTACAGAGAAAACATTTGATTCCTGCAGAGACATCAAATTCCTTGACAACCTTTTAAAAAAAAAAAAGCAATGGCCCACTTTTTTTGTCTCGACAAGAACCAAATCTTTTCTCCCGTGAAATGAGAAAAGCATTGCCCACTTTTAAATTATGTTTAGTTGTTGGTTGTATAAGAAAACTTGTGCCAACGAGTGTGAATGTACTAGATTTTGGCTAAAATAGTCATGTTTATATAGAATACTTCAAGTCGGATATGACGTGTTAGCCTAACGAAGGCTAAATTATAAATTTAATCTCACTTATTTTTAAAATATTGGAAGGTTTGGCCTATCCTACAAGTCTTATTAAGCCTATGCTCAAGATCCACCTATGGAAAAAGTTTTAAAGAGTAGAATAACACTTATTTATTTTCTCTTAGCATCCGTATTAAAAAGTCACTTATCCAATAATATACATGTCACATGAAAAAAATTATCATGTGTGATATTTCTAGAGAAAAAGATATATTTTATCAATATATTACAATTTTTAAAAATAAAAATAAAAATATAGTTTGAAAATTTTTAATATTACTATCATGTAATATTAAAAATCCAACATAAACAATTGCAATTGATGCATCTGTAAACTTAGGCCATTGGTCAGTGGTGGAGCCACAGTGGGGCACTAACTAGTTTTCAAACATTTTAGAATTTGGCATGGATAGAGACTAAAATTTGGCAACTATGCAAAACAAATAAAAGGATGGCAAAGGCTAAAAAAATTTTGGGCCGGATGTTTGGCACGAGCTAACATTTTTTGCTGGCTTTGCGATTGCCATTGGTTGCAAATCGGACCTGTTATAAGTGACATCAAATTAAGATCATATCTAAAAACAAAATTTTCATAACCATCAAAAAATATAAGAGGTCAAATGCGACCGAAAAACACCAACGAGAAATATTTTGAGAAGGTAATATGTAGAAAAAATGAGAATTATTTTATTTGAAAATTAATAAGAACCTGTTTGGCACCTCTCTTTTTTAAGCTAAGTTTAAGCTAAAGTCAATGTTTTAAAACTCGGATCAGACCGACACTTCGACCCAGGTTTCAGCAACCTGGTGAGGGCACTGGTTCGAACTGGCCATTGGATCGATCATGTAGTTGAACCGATTTCAACTGGTTGAATCGACCGAGTCTCGATGACTCACGGGTCAAATGGAACCTGGCAAGTCAAGTTTTTTCCTATTGTTTTCTCCTTAAACCGGTATTTAAAAATTGGACAAAAATTCCACTTTTTGTCATGGCTGGAAATTGAACCCGGCCTATGAGAGTGAGTAGTGTTATCACTTACTACTAGGCTACCCTCAATTGTTGATCAAAATACACCTTATAATATATTTATTATGCAATTTAACATAAATTTAGGACTAAATATTTCATTTTTTATAGTAGTTGGGAATCGAACCCAACCTATATTAATGATTTGTGTTACCACTTACTACTAGACTACTCTCACTTCTTGGTAAAAATGTACCTTATAATATATTTTATATAATTTAATATAAATTTAATTAAATTACTTGAACTAGTGTCCCATCATCAGTTGAACCAATGACGCAATAACACAGTACCTTGATCAAGTCGATAATCGGACCGAGTTTTAAAACACTGGCTAAAGCTAAAAAAGAGCTTTAAAATTAAAGTTAGAAGCTGTTTGATAATTGTAAAAATTTTAGATTAAAAGTTACTTAAAAATAGTTCATTTTAAAAAAAGCACATATTTCAAAAAAAGCTGATACGATTTAAAAAAAAAAAACTTTTCCTATAAGCTTTTAACTTTTTTTCTTTATTATAAAAAAATTATTTTTATTATAAGAACTTTTATAAAAACCTATTTGACCTTACTTCTATTTATAAGGAGAAGAAAATGTAAAAAAAAAAAAGGGGCATTAAACAGGTCGTCCATAAGATTTTTATGCTATATTTGTTAAATAGGTTTTTTCTAATCACGGTTATGCTTTGTTTCATTATTTAGGCGAGGATCGACCTCACCTCATATAGGCACGTAATAGGCCTTACACCCCTAATTGACCAGACACATACATAGAGGTGCTAAAGTGGATGGAGTACTTTGAAGATGGGTTAGAAAACTCAGTCCGCGGAGTCAATAATATTTTACACTAAAAAAAATTCAGACCGAGCAAGCTTAAAAAACTCAGCTCGTTCCGTCTCATTTGGCGGGCCGGCAGGGTATGTCGAACCCGTTTTGCCACCTCTACATATACATATATGGAAAATATGTTTGTTCTTTTTTTTTTGGTAAACTAAATTTATAAATATTTGTCCTTTTAAATGACACAAGTTGTGTCATTTCACTCTCACAAAGAGGTGTGACCCATATCTTTTTTTTTTTTTTGTCCACTCTCTCCCTCGCATAATCTATTTCTTTCTCTCATTTAAAATAATACAATTTTACATCCATTAAAATCATATACACTTTTTCCTACATATATATGGAGAGATGCAAACATGTAATGTTGAAATAGCATTATCCTTGGCAGAAATTGAATATAATGATTCCGTTAAAAATAATTTAGTGCGCACTTTATGCATCTTACACTTAAGAAAGTATAAATAAATAAATCTTCCAATTCCAATTCATGTTATTTTATCCTTAACAAGTTGCTGTCAAGGTTGCACTGGATTATTCTCCACTCTCCACTAATTAGTGATGCTCACATTTCTCTGTGTGATGATTTGTCTGATTCTCCACCAATTTGATCGGTGCACACTTTTCCCTTGAGGTTGATATTAACCCAATGATACACCATAATTATGGGGAGAGGAGTTTAGAGTGGTGCTAAGGCCCCGTTTCCTCTTTCTTTATTCGCTTTATTTGGCTTGTCTTCTTTAATTTAACCAAATCTAAAGCTGACTATGTACATAATATCATAATATCCTAAATAATTACTATAATTATTAATTTTTAAATTTATTTATATGTTATTTTAAAATAAAAATTTATTTATTTGAATACAAATTAAATTTTCTATATAAGATAATAAATAAATTATTAAAAATTAATATTTTTACATCAATAATTATTAATTCAAATAGAATGGAGTTTGTTTTCCAATTCGAGTTCTAAAATTAGAAGGAATTCGGATCGGATTAAATCTACATTAATAAAAAAAAATTATAGTATAAATTTAACTCTTTTAAGGTTGGAGATGCATTTTAAAAAAGAAAGTGTAACCAAATAGTTGTAGTCCAGTTGACGCATGGGAGCTAAGCAGGTGGGGGTGAGAGCATGTGTTCCAATCTCTCTAGTACCACCTTTGGGAGGAGTTTAAAGCTTTAATTCTGGACCCGCCCCGAATCGGATTAATTGCGAAGCAATGAACCGATTGGAATATTTTCAAAAAAAAAAAAAAGTGTAAAATTTATTACCATAATTAAAAAATCGAAAAGGAAGATTTTAATATATTTATAATTATTTTAAAAAATTGTTATATGTGTGAATTTCAACACAATCTTAATCGTACATTTTTTTTAATTAATATGGTTATAACTCTGTACTTTTCTTTTTAAAGTACATATGCTCACTTTAGAAGAGTTAAATTGTTATAATTTAATTGTATAAATAAATAAAGAAAATGCAAATCAATGAGAGACAACTGAAATTGTCCTTAGCAAGCAAAACTAGGTCAACAATTTGTCAATTTAAACCATACTCGATCCACTATTGGTCGAATTGATACCACTAACTATTCGTACATGTCTGCATTATGCGCCCTATTTCTCGCACCAGCCTTCCAACCACTTAAGAATTTGATTCTATCCTTTGCTTTCTAAAAATGTCATATTGTTTTTTGTCTTTACTTTATTTTTAATTATGGGTAAATAATATCTTCGGTAAATGAAAATAAGTTATCTCCAATAAATTCAAAACTATGTCGTTTTGAGAAGAAAATTAAGATATTTTTATAATTTTAATATATTACAGGGTTATATTAATCTTTATAATTATAATTTTTTAATCTTATAATCCCAAAACGAAGTCGTTTTGAGCTCATTGTAGATAACTTTATCTCCAGTGACCGGAGAAATACTTTTCCCTTTAATTATTAGTAAAAAAATTAAAAACAGGTTCTATTAAAAAAAAAATTAAACATAGAAAATATTCTCTTAAGTAAGAAAAAAAGACCCCAATTCCCTTTGGGGTTAGTTCAAGTGGTATATGAGTTTAAATTCTTGTGAATGTAGAAAATTCTTTTTTCCAAAATTAACCCGTTTCTGGCTAAAACAGGCTTCCCAGGGAAGATAAGTGTGTTTTATTCAAAAAAATTAAAAATAAATAAATACCCTAATTCTCTCCACTCTTCCTCTATAAAATCCCTGTTCCTCTAACAGTTCATCACACACAAAGTTTTCAACATAGTCAATTCTGTTTTCATTCCCAAACAACAAACAACACTCTTTTTAACCATGACCACGCTCAATACGAGCAACATCAGAACATCTTCGGATGGAGCATGGCAAGGTGATAATCCTCTGAACCACGCTCTTCCCTTGTTAATCATTCAAACCATCCTTGTCATCCTCGTGAGCCGCACCCTCGCTTTCTTCCTCAAACCTCTTCGTCAACCCAAAGTTGTCGCCGAGATAATCGTAAGTTAAAATCATAGAAAAATGCTAAACGTTACAAATTAATAATAAATATAAAAAAACACATAATAATTGGCATATTTGTTATAATAGCTCTTATAAGGAGCATTTTTCTTCCGCTACCTAACAACATAGGTGAAAGCTGAAAAATATTATAAGATTGCTCTAAAATCATTAATTACCACTTTCATTCACTTTTGTTACACATTTTCTAACATCACATATGTTTAATTATTATGGCAGGGTGGAATTGTGCTAGGACCTTCTGTTATTGGTCGTAACAAAAGTTTCATGCACATAGTGTTCCCTTCATGGAGCACTCCCATACTGGAATCAGTAGCAAGCATTGGCCTCCTTTTCTATCTTTTTCTAGTGGGTCTCGAGCTCGACCTTCGAACCATTCGCCGGAGCGGCAAGCGAGCTTTCAACATCGCGGTGGCCGGAATATCCCTTCCGTTCCTCTTTGCCGTTGGAGTCACCTTCTTGCTCCCCAAAGTTATCCACTTTGAAAACCACAAGGTTGGTTTCCTTCAGCGCTTCATTTTCTTGGGTGTTTCTCTCTCCATCACTGCCTTCCCTGTGCTCGCGCGCATCTTAGCGGAGCTCAAGCTCTTGACAACACAAGTGGGAGAAACTGCCATGGCGGCTGCAGCCTTCAACGACGTGGCTGCATGGGTGTTGCTTGCCCTCGCGGTGGCTTTGACCGGTGGTGGACACAAAAACAGCGTTCTCACATCCATCTGGGTGCTTTTTTCAGGTTTGGCGTTTGTTATTAGAACTCGGCTTTGAGAACAGAGTTTAGTAATTAACTAATTAACTAAAAGCTTAAGTGATTATGTAAAGGTACAGCGATGACTACTGATCCGTGAGAATAGGAAATGTATGACCGGAGGTGATTAATTGTATCTTTGATCTGTACACTCGCAAGATTCATGAAAGAGATGCAAAGGGGTGGCAGATCATTGTGCACAATCATAACTAAGAAAGTAACCAACAGAAAATATATAGCTTTATTTATAAAAACGGTTACCGTAGGTGAAAAACTTTAGTAGGAGTGATATGAGAAGGGATCCTATCTCTTAGACTTATCAATATGTTATTTTATTGCTTTTAGAAGTCAAAGGGACCCGCAAGAAGGGTCCAGAACAACTACTAAGTTTGTGTTGGAATTTAAGTTTTATTAGAAGTGGCAAGGATTATATATAGGGTTATATCGCTTTTTCTACTAGATAATTTATTTACGTTGAATTCAAAATGATGTTATTTTGAGGTAGAAATCAAGGTATTTTTATAATTATAATTAATTTCAGGATTATAATAATCTTTTTCATTATAATTTTTTAATTTTTCAAACCAAAATGACTTCATTTTGAAAACAAATATAGATAGCTTATCTACATTTACGGTAGAAACATTAAAGCTTTATATATATATCACTTGAATACTATGTCACGAATTAACTCTAACAAAAGCAAGCATAACTTGTCACATGTCACAAATTAACTCTCTCAAAAGTGTAAATAGCTAGTTTGGTGAAGCCTATATATCTAACATAATCCTTGTTAAGATATATAATATAAATTATATATGTACCTTCATATAATAATTGAAGCTTTTGGGAATGTTTATTGCATTATATGGTATTGTAGCTTTTTATATCCAAGAGTTTAGAGTTTCATCTTTATTGTCCCTATTTTTTTAATAAAATGGACTCTTGATGTGATGGACCTATGTAATATTTATGTTTTGATCTTGAGTTGTCCGATGATGAAGAGAACCAGATATGTATTAATCTAAGGTGCTCTTAGTGACAATGGTATAGATTAAGGCCCTCGTAGAGCTTTCCACGAGGTGTGCAACAATGGTGAGGGAGGTGTTTAATGGCTACGATGTCTCTCCAAATTAACAAAGTAATAGCTCATAGAAATAATGAAACAGTTTGTATGTTTTTGTGAATGAGAACGGATATTTATAGGTGGGTTTGACATTTAATGTTTAGCCTAGTCTTGTTTGGGCAAAACGCATTGCAGCCATTATTAACGTACAATGGCTGAGTGTGCATGGGAAAAGGGGGAGATGATATCTGCCTCTTTCGGCCATGGAGTCTTTCGTGGGCCCTTATGTATGGGCTCGAATATTGGGTTTGGCTAGACGGAATAAATCCCTATAAAGGCTTTTGGTATGATGAGTTTTTGGATATATGTTGTTCATGCTTCAATTCTATAAGACTTGTGGGGCAAAGTAATATGTTAAAGATATAGATGTGGCGTTTGTTTCCTTCCACGCTGATGCTAATTTTAATTCGCAGTATCAAAACCAGGCTTATAATTTAATGAAGCCAATAATAATATTTGGAAATCATTTAACTCTCTTATTTTCAGGTGTAGCATTTGTTGCCTTCATGTTGTTCCTGATTCGACCCATGATGCACCGCATTGCTCGTCAATGTTCTCGTGAACACGATGTCCTAGACGAAACCTATATATGCTTAACCCTTGCAGGGGTAATGTTATCAGGGTTCGTGACAGACCTAATAGGGATACATTCAATTTTTGGGGCCTTCATTTTTGGGCTAACAATACCAAAAGGAGGTGAATTTGCAAACAGGGTAACAAGGAGAACAGAGGACTTTGTTTCAACTCTGTTGCTTCCCTTGTACTTTGCATCAAGTGGGTTGAAAACAGATGTTGCTAAGTTGCAGGGTGTGGTGGAATGGGAGCTTCTTTTGTTGGTTATATCAACAGCATGCGCAGGGAAGATTTTGGGAACGTTTGTGGTGGCAGTGATGTGTATGATACCAGTGAGAGAATCGTTAACACTTGGAGTGTTGATGAACACCAAAGGGTTGGTGGAGCTTATAGTTCTCAATATTGGCAAAGAAAAGAAGGTGAGTTTTGCTTCTCCTTTCATTTAAAACAGAGCAACATAGTAAGAATTTAATGTTATGAATTTTTCAGTAATTTATATTATTATTTAATGATTATTTGTTACATTATTTAATGAATTCAAAAGATTTTAATTGTTAATAATAATATGGTGTAAAAATTATACACCCAAAAGAGGTAATAATATTTGTTAGATTTATATATAAAATCATTAATGTTGTCTCGTTCAATAGCTTAAACTTTTGGGTTGAATTAATTTCTTACATAATATTAAAGACAGCGTTATTAAGTGGTCATGAGTTCGATCCTCACCGCTCATATTCAATTAATAAAATTAAAATATTATAGAATTTTTTAGCACAAATAAATTGAGATTAATATATTTCCATTCTTCAAACCCAATGAAGTTTTGTATAAAAGATGTTTCATTATTTTTTCTGATCCACATACATATGATATCCTCATTATTAAGAATAATATTACGGTACTTTGTTTTTCTAATGGATATACGAAAGATAGAAACTTTTCTTTAAAAAAATATGAATTTTTCTGTAAAATATACAAGTAAAAATGTATTTACTCTTGATTTAACTTGAAGTATATTATAATTTTAATTTACTACTTATTTTTACGCTTTACATACAAACTCATTTTTCCAGTACAAAACCTGTTTTGTTGCATTGACAATCATTTTCATCTTTACGACTAAAGTTTAATATTAATATATATGGATATATAGATGCTCCGAATTAAAGTGGTGAACTTATCAGCCAATTGCTGATATGATAGCAGTATATATTCACGACTTGTTCTTATTATGATGTTTCGTTATTCACTGTATTGCTTTTGAATGTGCTTCTGAAATTATTTCCGATCCTGGTATCATTTTCATTCTCTTTTTTTAAAAAAAAAAAAAAAAAACTTAGTTTTATATATATATATATATATATATATATATATATATATATGGAAGGATCCGTTTACAAACTTTTACAAATAACATTATATACTCTCGGACGTACATTACTAACCGAGTGTATTTCTGAGAGCACATAATGTAGTTTGTATATAAAAAGTTTATAAATATAACTCTCCCTTATACTTATATATATATATATATATATATATATATATATATATATATCAACTCTAATTACTTCTTTGATAGCAATTGAGGCGAGTCGACCAAGATATTCACACAATCTTCAACTCTTTGAGTCGATTATAAAATTAATCGTGAATTATGGCTTATTCACAATTAAAACTTCTCACCCCATCCACCCAAAAATATATTTGAAAAAAATCTCAGCTTCAGTTGCAAGGATGGCATGCATCATCGCAAACATATATGATTAGGTTCAATCACTAGTAATAAACAGACGCTCAGGGGTAATAAAACATTATACTTAATTAAGAATGAGGAAAGATAGATATATATGTAAAAGAACAATTTGACTTCTTTCCTGATATTCTGGAGTAAAAATAGAATCCCATCAATGGAACTAAAAGGAGATTTTCAAATTAATTTCCATGAAATCTAATCAGGGCCTCATTTTTTTTCTCTTTTTACATTATGCTAATGATTTTGGAATCTCGAATTGATTTGCATTCTCGTAAAGTAATGATCACTAAGATCTGCACTAATTACTTTTTATCATTTTCCTCTTTTTTTGGAATATTAACTTTAAACACTATTAGTTCAGTTTATTAGTTATAAGAAACGTTACAAGATTCGCATAGTTTTTGTAGAAGATAGATTCGCATAAAATTTGGGATATGACTATTGTGCACGCATGTATCGTTTTAAAAAATGATTGTCATTTCTATGGGTTTTGTTTTCTTTGCATCATGCTTTACTTTACAATTTATGGAATCTTGATTTCATTTAAAATCTCATAAAGTAATCAATAAGATCTACGCCAATTATCTTTTTCTCCTTTCCCCTGTTTTGGAATATTTATTTTATTTTAATTTTTGGAATATTCGTTGTAACAATTAGTTCAGTCTATTGATTCTAAGAAATGCTACATAATTTTGCATAAAGTTTTGGAATTGATGAATCCAAAAAGTTTTGGAATTGATTATTGTACACGTATTTATCAATTAAAAAAATGGATTGTCACTTTTAGGGATACCTCTTATTTTCAGACATAATAACATAAATCTCTTTCTTTATTTGTGCAAAAACAATAAAACTCTTTTTCTTTGATCAGTCTTGTTTAACTTTAAATGGTATATACATATTATTTACGTTAAAACTAATTATTTAAAAAATTTAAGTCAACAAAAAATAAATTCCCTTTATAGTTATAAAATATCAAACTCTTAATGTATATGTAGCCAAAAAAATTTGCTTAAGTTCACACATAAGCCTACTTAAATTAAAAACACTTCAATAATCTAAGTGTATTTAATTTAAGGATATATGTCTTTTATGTTACATAACATGTCTTTCATGTTATATGATATGTCTCGTGCACATTTAAAAAAGTGAATTAGAATCACTTTTTTTTTTCTTTTTTTTTCTTCTCTTTATAAATCTTTTCTTCTTCTTATAAATCTTACCCACTGTTTTGTGTGTTGCATGAGATACAACATGAGAAACATATTCCCTCTCAATTTATCCACTTCTTCAATTTTAACGTGTGAGTTCTTATCTTCGTAGGAGTACTAGCTAACTAATGAATTTCATTATGTATGAACCAACTATCTAAAACCATAACTGTTAAATAAAAGCTAATGAATTGTTTTTATATCTAACAATTCAGATTTCACCAAAATTCATTTATTATTGATCAACCATTTAGAAACAAGGAGTGTGAAAATTTCATGTCATTAATAACAGTATTTGTTTTCTCCCTTGTGTTTGTGTGAGATTTTGACTACACTACATTGCCAAGCAGGTTCTTAACGATGAGATGTTCACAATCCTGGTCTTAATGGCTATCTTCACCACCTTCATCACAACCCCAATGGTTTTAGCCATACACAAACCCTCTCGTTCAGTTAATTCCCTAACACGCCATGCTCTATTGCCAAGACCACCACCACTAACAGATTTACAAGAGAAACTTCGAATCCTTGCATGCATCCATGGACCTAGCAACGTGCCTTCACTAATCAACTTCATAGAATCACTTCGAGCTACAAAGGAGTCTCAACTCAAACTCTACGTGATGCAACTCAGTGAACTCACTGATAGCTCATCATCAATCTTAATGGTTCAAAGAAGCAGAAAGAACGGGTTTCCATTCTACAGGTTCCAAAGAGGAGCATTACGTGAACAAATTGCCACAGCATTTCAAGCTTTTGGTCAAGTAGGTCTAGTTAATGTACACCAATTAACATCAATCTCTTTGTTGTCTTCAATGCACGAGGACATATGCCATGTTGCTGAAAAGAAAGGTGTGGCAATGATAATATTGCCGTTTCACAAAAGGTGGAGAAGGGAAGATGAAGAGGCAAATAATATAGAAGACATAGGGAATGGATGGAGGGAAGTGAATCAGAGAGTGCTTCAACGTGCACATTGTTCTGTTGCATTGCTTGTGAATCGTGGGGTTGGTAGGTGTGAAGAACGAGGTGAGAGTAGTGGTGTTGATGGGAAGAGGGTGTGCATGATTTTCATTGGAGGACCAGATGATCGTAAGGTTTTGGAGTTGGGTAGTAGGATGGCTGAACATCCAGCAGTTAGGTTGGATCTTGTGAGATTCACTTCTTCAGGCAAGGAAGGTAAGGATAAGAGAGGCAACCATAAGTCATCAACATCAGACAACAATTGGGAAAAAGAGAAGGTATTTTCCCTTAAACTATATAATCTTGAACTTAATTGATTCAACCAACAAAGAATATTAGTTGATTTGTCTATGATGTTATTTAAGCCAGCCCAACATGACCTATTCAACCAGTTGAACCAAATCATTAATGTATTAGCCTTGATCAATGAATCGGCCATGCATGTGACCCGATCAAGAACCACTAAGCCACATCACTTTAGTTGTCATATTACTTCTAGACATATATTTATGTTATATCTTTACATAAATTGGATTCAATGGGTTCAACCAGTGACCAATAATTCATTGATCTAGTACTGTGACCAAGTCGATGACTAAGTTTAATAAAGCGCTTTACATATTTCCTTACTAAAATTAAAAATAAATGGGAATTGTATGACATTAACAATAAAGAAATAAATGGTTAGAGTAATTGCACTAAGGTGAGTTAAATTTTTCTTAATATTAGTGTGTTTTATCCATGTTAGGCGGTAGATTTTCACTACTTTTACGCACTTCCTTACTAGGAATGGAAATAACTGATATTCATGTGATAGTAACAATAAAGAAATAATAAAATTGATATAAATGTAACAATTAGATAAGTCATGTTTTTCAATTTTAGTGGGTGATGTATTGAGAATTCAAAACACTATATAGTACGAGGTTGCCCTTTTTTTAATTGCTTTAGCCAAAAACTAGAAACGACATACAAATGTCTATATGACCAAAAGACAAACCATTCTGACAAATTTAAATGTCATGAGCAGGAGTTGGATGAGGTTGCAGTAAACGACTTCAAAACAAAATGGCTTGGGACAGTGGAGTACATTGAAAAGGACACAAGAAACATAACAGAGGAGGTTTTAACAATTGGGAAGGCTAACGAGTACGAGCTAGTAATTGTTGGGAAGGGACAACAGCTTCTTGGGTCAACAACCATGGTAACAAACATAAATGATTCTCGTCACGAGTATGCTGAGCTGGGGCCCATTGGAGATCTCTTAACTTGTTCAGATCATGGCATTAAGAGTTCAGTGCTTGTTATACAAGACCATGATTTGATTAATTCAAATGAAACTAGTCTCGAAAAGACAGCAAGGGCCAAGAGTAATGTGATGAATGATGCTATCTCAGAAATTGAAACATCCGTATAAAATTATATCAAATATGTAGAAAGCAAAATAAACCCCCATCTCAGGTACTGTATTTTGATCCTTCATGAATCTATATAAAGAAGACCTTATGTTTGGAAATATGCAAGTCATGCAGGGTGGTCCAGACCCACATTCGGCCTAAACGCATCATCGAGTGCCTGTACATCTTTAAGGACTACAAGATGAGCTGAATAGAACATTGAACCTATGCTTCAAACATCAGATAGATTTAGTTTATATAGAATTTCAAGTTAGTTATCTTATAGATTATCTATTATATCCGTTTAATAGTTATCTTGTATTTATCTTATCTATCATTTGAATTTTCTCGCATTGTAGATAACTATTATAAATTGGAATAAAGTAGTAACGAAAAAGATATGAAGTATCACACCAACAATCTCTCCTCTTCGTCTCTTCTCTTTCTTCCCCCTATCCTTGTGATTTCTATTTTCATTTTTATTTTGAGATTTTTTCACTGGTTCATCAATTAATCAACTAATTCGGTCGAGTTGAGTAAAATCATAAAGACGGGAAAATTCTGCCTACCAAGTTTTAATACAGTTACGTATCAAGGACTCAAACTCGAAACCACTATTTAAGTAGAACAATCGCTTGCCAGTTGATCCACTTGCTTGGTGGTGATTCCTATTTTCCCATTAACCTGCTACACTCAGACATGAAAGTTGAAATAAACAAATGACAACTCCCAAAGCCTTTCCTTCCATTGCAAGCACATTCACTCCGGGGTATCTGAGAATGCAGGATTTAGCAAGCATATGTAAAGTCCACGAGTTAAAAAGAATATCCCTTTACAATTAAAATCCCACATTTTTTTCAGGGCATTCCCCTGTCTTTCCTTTGCCTCCTCCTCCAGAATTTAGCAGTTTAAGAACAAGTTGACCAGCAAAAATTTTTCGAGAACCTCGCTATAGACATAGCATAAGTTGGTATTGCTTGTATGTCAGTCTTATAATCAAAACCTCCTTCCCTACCTGGGCTTAAAAGTTTCTTCTTCCAACCTTCCATCTTTACTGAGGACCCTTTCTTTAATCCAGGTTAGATATGACCCTTTTGATCTCCCCTATTTTAAAATGTAAGCCCAAATACTTGCTTGGGCTATCCCGGACTCACATGTTCAATATGGCAGCCAACTATGTTCTAAGTAATGTGAGAGATATTTAACACAATTGATTTTAAATTGTGAAGTCTAGATCCTGTTGCTAGATGCAAAACAATAGGAATTTAGAATGCGCATAATTTGGTAAGCTTCTTCCACCTTGGCCTTAAAAAACAGAATGGTCAAAGTTGGGGCCTCTTTTACCGATTTCATACTTGTCAATAATCACATTTACACACACACAAGTTCAGCAATAAGGTCAAAGATCATAATTATCCAAATGGTGTATACAAGCCTAAATTCATGATGCATAGGCCAAGCCTAAAAGGGTGAATACACTGCGGCATCAGAAAAAAGGAGGGCTAGAGAAAAGAGAAGTGTGAGTGTCAAAACCGGCCCACATGCTACAATAAACCACCCCCCTCCAAAAATAAATAAATAAAACTATAGAGAACCATCCCTGCAATGGCAATCTAGAATTATTCATATTAATTTTTCTCTGCACTTTACAAATCATAAGAGCTTCACTATGCATTTTCGGGTTGGGAAAAAAGGGAAGAGGTATTCTCAGTTTAATGGATATTAATTCACATATTGAACACAGAAACAAATACAGAAGTTGATTTCAAACGTAGACAAAATTAATATATTCTTCCTTCCAAGTTTTGTAGTTTGTAAAGGTGGTGGTTGTGCAGTTCTATAGAAATCCTTCAATCCCACGTCCTGCTCTTATGTCCCTATATATAGTAAGTGCTTCTTCCATTATCTTAGCTTGAGCCAGCAATTCTGCTCTCTTTCTTCCAGATGGATGTGTAGACAGATAATCCCTAAGGGTGGAATCGCCGGTGACTTTTCCCAACTTCTCGTAGACACTCGGTGCCACCCGGGGGTCATAGCCAGCTGACGCAATTAACAGCAGCCCAATGTAATCAGCTTCCATTTCCATTCTGAAAATTATGAATAAATTGGATTAAGTTACAAAAATTCGTAACCCAATAAAATTCCCATTCACAGATTACCATCATTGACCCCTCCAAAATTAACATTGTATCACACAAGTAGAGGTGGCAAAGTGGGCGGCCTGCCCCGCCACACTCCGCCATCAATCTGCCAAAAAATGAGTCAGCCCGCCCCGCCCTGCCCCGCCCCTCTTTTGAAAGTGGGCTGAAAAACTCAGTCCGCCCCGCCCCGTTGGGCGGGTTAGCCCGTCAGCCCGAGCCTATTTTACACTGACCCGCCTCGGCCTGCCTATGCCCGCCTTCAACCCGCCAAAAAATGAGCCCGCCCCGTTTGGCAAGTTGGGCAGGTTGGCCCACCGAGCCAAGCCCGTTTTGCCGGCTCTACACACAAGGGCTACAATTACAACAATCTTCCATTACAACATAAAAATCTACCAAGAAGTACAAGCACAAGCAGCTTGAACACAATCATACAAGTATAAACTCAACGCCGAAGATAACATTTTCCAAAGACAACATTGAGAGGGACCAATGCAGATACCACACGGTATTTTAAGTTCATGTCCCAAGGAAAGTGCGAGAGCCATGTGAAAACATGGATAGATAGTCACAATACAATTTTAAGAAATTGATATTAATGTACCACAAAAAAGTCTGGTCGAATATTATGAAGCTAAAAGGAAGCACAAGCAGTATGAACAAATTAACGAACATTTCAGAAAGATAATTGAAAAGGAGACCAAGAGAAAACCTAACAAAATCAGGTCTAATGATATCCTACTCACTTAGGACCAATCCACATTCCAACCAGAAACTAAACCGATTACGAAACTTTAAATAATTTGATTGTAGGATGTGCATCTCACAAACCACATAGTCACACTCACTATGCAGATCATGCTTGTAAAAAATCATTTCAACTCAAAATTTTAAACTGTTACGTGAAGACACGTTAATGGTTTTATATTTTATATCATATTTCTCTGACACACCCTCATACGAGAGCTCATTGAACTTGAAAGATGGACAATGCACAATCACACCTATATGTGGTAAGAACAATAATATTTAATTATTTATTATCAGAAGGAAAAAATTTATTTTCACCTATTGTGATATTGTGATTTATCATTTGACCCCTTGTGGTTTTAAACTTATCACTTAGACACATTGTGCTTAAACAATTTATCATTTAAACCCTCGTGGTTTCAAATATTCACTTAGACACCTTGTGGTTTCAAAAAAATTTACTTAAACCCCTTGTGGTTACAAAATAAAAATTTTAAAAAATAAATATTTAAAATAAATTTCCCTTTTTTTATTTTATATCCTCACCTAATGCATTTAGGGTTTAAAAAATAAAAAAAAATAAAAAAATTCACTTATTTTAATCAAGAAAATAAATACAAATCAAATATTATTTTATTTTATCTATTTTTTACCCGATATCGTTATAAAATTATCTAAAGAAAGTAAATATCTTATTTTGATAATACATATTTAATTTATCTTAAATAATATTTTTAATTTAAAATATATTTGTAAAATAAAAAAAAAATTAAGATAATTTATAAATTAATTACAGAATAAATAACTTGAAATATTTTTTAAACCCTAAATGCATTACATGAGGATATAAAATAAAAAGGAGAGAAAATTTATTTTAAATATTTATTTTTTAAACCACAAGAAGTCTAAGTGAAGAATTTTGTAACCACAAGGGGTCTAAGTGAAAATTTGAAACCATAGAGGGTTAAATGATATATTATTTCAACAAAGTGGGTCTAGTGATAAATTTAAAACCACGGGGTCAAATGATAAATCACAAAACCACATTGAGAGAAAAATTAAGTTTTCCCTTATTAGAATAGTGGCAGGTAAAGATCAAACTCATGAACATATAATCATAGAGACTTTTTTTTTTAGTATTATGATTACAAAGGCTTTGATACCACATAAAGAACAATTTCAACCTAAAAACTTAAGCTATTAGGCGAAAGAACATTAATGTTTTTATATTTTATATGATATTCCTCTAACAATGCTCACAAAATATTTTGCAAATTCAAAAATTTGGTTTGAATTCAATCAAAATTACTTCACAAGAACATAAAATATGATTCTTATTGTACAATATTCTAGAGTGCAGAGACAGATCTAAGAACATTTAAGCATTCATATACCCCAAAACCCAGTTTAAAATGAATTACTTTGGTCTATCTCACGTTCAGAAATTCTGTATAGAAATTATCACTCAATGTAATTCGCTTCTGATACAGCTCTGCTTTACGGGTAAGAGTTTACACAGAAAAAGTGAAGAAAGATGAAAGAGAAAAAGGGAGAAAGAGGGAAAAAGAATGCTTTGTCTTTATTGCTGTGTAGAAAATGTACAAGGGCTTAGCACTTACAAGGGAAAAGTCCCTTTGCTGCGTCACAATATTTAATCACATGATTATTTAATTATATAGTTTACAGAGAAAGAGGGGAAAATAATGCGTTGTCTTTTTTGCTTTGTAGAAAATGTACAAGGACTTAGCACCTACAAGGGAAAAGTCCCTTTCACTGAGTAATAGGCTCAGTCAACAATCGACCTGTAAAAAATGCTTCTATACAGAAGGAGGACTCCTCTTATCCTCCGGTTACAGCCTTTGTCCAACGGTCTAACCACCTAACTACCTAACTTAGTATTAATATCTTGTTTCCTTATCTCCACAAAAAAAATAAAAAAAATAAAAAAAATAATAATCTTGATTCCAGCATTCTCCAAAAAAAAGTTATATATATGAAGTAGGATCCTTTGACACCGGTAAAAAGATCAACGACTCTGATTTGTAAGCATGTGACACCATTGATCTTTTTTGATCTAACGGCTATCAGATGAGGTGTCAAAGGATCCTACCTCTCTCTCTATATATATATATATATATGTATGTATGGGTAATTGTAGTCTCATGTGACAGCAAAATTTTGTTGTCAACTGCACACTTAATTTATAGTGGGGCCCAATAGAAAAAAGAAAAAAAATAAAAATGGCACAAGTATCGATCTATGTACATAAGATAAAAAAAAAATCCTATTGCAAAAGATTAACATTGCCTTATATATATATATATATATATATCTGTGTGTGTGTGTGTGTGTGTGTGTGTTGGTTCCAGCTACTCTTCACATGACTTTGGCATTTTCCTACAAGAATATACCTTCAAACTAAAGGATTCCCCCCATACTTCATTTATTGACATGTTTTCTTTGAAAACAAAGACTAACAGAGTTTTGCTCTTTATCTGCAAGGTTTTATCATGATGGCATTGTTACAAATAAGGAATTGATGCATTTAAGAATTATGACAGAAAATGTGTACAATTTATGTGAACTATCCTGAACGCTCAGACCATCTGTTTATTACTTGCTCATTTTCTAAAGCTACTTAGTTTTTTCTTTTGGGCGTTTTGCCCCAATGTTATACTAAAAAAAAAAAAGCTACTTAGTCCCTCTATGTTTCTGTTTCTTTTTACCTTTTCTGCTGGGGCTTTGCCCCTCTATGTTACCAAAAAAAAAAAAAAAAAAAAGCTACTTAGTCTGGGTTACTAGTTAGCATTCCAGTCCATTTATGCCTTAGCTCATGTAGATGTTAAAAGTTAAGCATTGGATATAGGTTTGGTGTGTAATGCCTTCATAAAACGTAGCATAGTGAATTTTTTTTAATAAGTCACAGCAGTAGCATTGCATCAACACTCAAACATATTTCAACATGAAATGAAAAAAAATTATGTGTCCATGAAATGAGTCTACTAAAATTAAAGAACCAAAAAGGAAATCAATGATTACAAAGAGAGAATGAGAGATAATGAACAAAATGTACCTCCTGGAGAAAGGTAACCGTAAGAAAAGGGATGACATTGTGTTGACAATATCAGGCATGACAAACTGATAAAGTACCAACTGTAGAATAGCAAACCATAGATTCTTTGTAATCCCCTCAGCACTGTGTCTAGCCACAGCATGCCCAACCTAATCAACAAGAAAACCCATATAAACTTACATATGTGCAGCTCAAAATAATAAACTAGCAAGTTATAAGGTGTAAGTTTTAGATATCCTACACATATTTAACTGCCAAAACAAGGAGTTAATCCAAGCACAAGTATACCTCATGTCCAATAATAGTTGCTATCTCTGCATCACTTCTAAAATGCTCTAACAAACCAGTGAATACAACTATCTTCCCACCAGGTAAGCAGAAGGCATTAACAACAGGCTCATTCACCACCAAAACCTCCCAATTCAATCCATCCAAATGAGAGGTAGCAGAATGTGTCCCTCGTTCCTGACCCTTTTTCCTGCTTTGTTGAACCCACTTGTCATCAAGAATCTCATCCTCCCGGTTCCACTTTCCTTCAATCTTCCCTTCATTCCCTGCCAATGCACTAAGTGTCTCCCTTCCATCTCCTTCAACCATCATGGTATGCTCTGATGCATAATCCAAATCACTCCACACCTGTTCCTTCCTCAACCCTCTCTGCAATGCATCAATGATATCCTTAGCTATCATCCTCACCCTCACACTTTCAGGGTGTATAGAAGGCAATATCTTACCCTTAAAAGAAGCCTTCAATTGCTCAAACTGATTCTCCCCAAGCCTCCTCTCCATGGCTCTTGACAACAGAATCAAATGGGTTCGCTTGGTGTAGGGAACTGTTTCCAAATTCCCAAAATACACAGTGATCAAAATCCCTGAACCAACCATCACAACAACGAAAACATGTCTAGGATTCTGAAACCAACGCCTTGGTCCTCTTGGCTTGAAATGCTGCACATTGTAAGGATCCACATAATAAAATCTCCTAGCCCCAACATGAAACGGATTGTGAAATTTCCTGTTAGCCCCAACACCCCCTTTGCCTAGTCTCTGAGAAATTGAAGAAAACGAAGAGAACCCATTAAAGGTAGCTCCTTTTGAAGCCGAATCCAAATACCCAGATTGGAAAATCCTCGAACTACGCTGAAAAATATGATTTTGCGGCGAAACCCTGGAAGCCAAGCTGCGAAAACCATCAAGAGCGAGCTTTCCCCTTGTGTACCACCCCATGATCGCGGAAAAATGAAATAGAAAACAAAAGAAAAATGGGAAAATTGGAGACTTAGAGCAACGAAAAATTCAGGGTGTGCCGTGAATCGAAGTGGTAAAACATGGCAGGGTTAGGAAAACAGGAGAACATGTCACCGCGAAGAATCTAGATAGAGAGAACCGACAGACACATGTGAGAAGACCAAACGAAACAAAGGTAAATTCAGAAAAGGAAAACCAAACAACAATGGAATCTCAATCAAACATGTTTGCAGAGTCATGGCCGAGTCTGCAGTTGTATCAAACCTCAGGAATAAAATGAAGTGGAGAAATAGGAAAGGATTGAGAATTTTTAATTTTATTTTTTTATATAAAATTTTGTGTTTTTTTTTTTAGTAGATAAAGTCGTGTAATTTTTGGTTGATTGATTAATATCAAATATATGTGACACCTATCATTATCTTATACCTGACACGTCTCATGTTTATGGGAATTATATAATAAAATTATAAAAAAAATTAATTTATGGAGAACTGTTTAGAGAACGTGTCATCTAAAATAATTATGTTTATTGTACCCAAAAAAAATATAATTATGTTTAGATCTATGTTACACCGACACCTACACCTACACCTAGGGACACGAAATGATATGATATTATGATACGTTAATTTTAAAATCAATAAGTTAGGACACATTTTAATATTAAAAATATTTTTAATATATATAATAGGGATAGGTCATTTTGTCTAGCTTTAATTTGCCTACCACACTTAACTCTATTAGATTATAATCTCATCCAATGATAGAGATTTACAGAATAAATTAAATATTTTTACCCTTTTCTTTCTCATCCCCGCCTCCCACCCTTTCTCCCTTCTTCATTTTCTCTCTATCGATGACCAAGATAGAAAATAGAGAAGCACATACTTGTTGTTTTCTAGTTTTATGTTGCTCAGTGATCCTTAATAATATAAAAGCATAGTACACAATATATGAAGAATTTAATTATATCTTGAATATAATGAGACTTGTTTATTTATCATTATCAATTGCGTGGAATTCTTATTCTTATATTGCTTCAGCATGCAACACCAAACACATAACTGCAAACTGCAAACTGCAAATTAGCCATCCACAAATATATATCTATACTAAAAGAAAACAATAATTTGACAAGTTTACTGACGTGTCGCTCTCTCCTTCAATATCAACTTTGTATCACACTTGAAATCATTTAAAATCTTTCTTCTTTTAGTAACTTTTTAAATTCAAAATTTAAACTTCATATAAGTAGGAAAAGAGTTTAACATGTGGCAAATATCTGTATTAATATTTCATTACTTTTTTAAAATTCAAATTTTAAACATGATATAGGTGGGAAAAGAGTTCAACATTGTTTGGTAGCAGACAATTGTATTAATATCCTACTACTTTCTATATGGAAATGAGAGTTGTTGAGTATATTCATAATATTTATTGGAAAGTGTATTATTATGGTTTCCCTTTAAGTATATTAATACCTGCAACACCCTTTGAGAACCAAGGTCCCTCGTCTTTATTTATTTCTGCATCTATCTCATTTTCAATTTCATGGCTTGCATTCCTTGTTGCTTTTTTGCATCCATTTTCACTGACCCTTTGTTTTGTTAGTACTAAAAGAGCTCCTTTTAATAGTTCAGGTAATAGATTGGTTGTGGGTTTATCTAGATTCATTTCATCACCTTTTCCCCATTCATTATGGCTAATTTAATGTATGTTTTTTTTCCTTATTTTGCTTCACTGTTAAACTAGGTGTTGTCAGGGATTAGTGACATTGCTAAAAATGGGATCTTTAGCAAATAAGAGACTGACAAATTACTTGAAACAGCTTCACCAACATCCTTTGAGAACCACGATCCCTCTTCTTCATTTATTTCTGCATCTATCTCATTTTCAATTTCTCTTTACATGGTTTGCTTTCCTTGCTGCTTTTTTGCATCCATTTTCATTGACCCTTTGTTTTATTAGTGCTAAAAGAGCTACTTTTAATGGTTCAGGTAATAGATTGGTTGTGGGTTTATCTAGATTCATTTCATTAACTTTTCCCCATTCATTTCATTAACTGTCTCTCTTTACATGTATTTTTTCCCCTTCTTTTGCTTCACTGTTAAACCAGGTAATCACTGCAGGGGTGTTGTCAGGGATCAACGACATTGCTAAAGATGGGATCTTTCGAATAAGAGACTGAAAAATTACTTGAAACAACTCCAACAACACCCTTTGAGAACCACTGTCCCTCTTCTTCATTTATTTCTGTATCTATCTCATTTTCAATTTTCCTTTACATGGCTTGCTTTCCTTGCTGCCTTTTTGCATCTATTTTCATTGACTCTTTGTTTTGTTAGTCCTAAAAGAGCTACCTTTAATGATTCATGTAATAGATTGGTTGTGGGTTTATCTGGATTCATTTCATCAACTTTTTCCCATTCATTATGGCTAATCTAATGTATGTTTTTCTTTTCCTTCTTTTGCTTCGGTGTTAAACTAGGTAATCATTGTTGGGGTGTTGTCAGGGATCAGCGATATTGCTAAAGATGGGATCTTTAGCAAATAAGAGACTGAAAAATTACTTGAAACAACTACAGCAACACTCTTTGAAAACCACGGTCCCTCTTCTTCATTTATTTCTGCATCTATCTCATTTTCAATTTCCCTTTACATGGCTTGCTTTCCTTGCTGCTTTTTTGCATCCATTTTCATCGACTCTTTGTTTTGTTAGTCTTAAAAGAGCTACCTTTAATGGTTCAAGTAATAGATTGGTTGTAGGTTTATCTGGATTCATTTCATCAACTTTTCCCCATTCATTGTGGCTAATTTAATATATGCTTTTTTTCTTTCTTTTGCTTCATTGTTAAACCAGGTAATCACTACAGGGGTGTTGTCAAGGATCGGCGACATTGTGTCAAAGAAGTTTACCGGGATACTGAAACTTTAATTCAAACGACTTCTTCTCATAGCGATGAGCTTTTTTCCCTTTTGAGTTTTACTCTTATCCTATCCAAATTCTAAGTATAGTAACCTTTTAAAATTTTAATATTCATGTAGAAAAGAAAGTACTATAATATTGACTACGGAGGATGATGGGCTTGGGTGTGATAGAAAGTTGGCCCTATGTGATCAAAAGCTGTTGGTAAAAATGGTGAAATGAGTTTTTTTTTTTCAACCCAAAAATGAAAAATAACATGTTGGTCTTCATTAAATCTTTCTTGGGTTTTGTGAATGTTATGTAACAGCAAAATGAATACATCATGTCATAGAGACATGTTTTTGTAGGGCCCATCAAATATTAGAAAAAAAAAAATAAACAAAAAAGCTAGCACAGAAAACGATATGAGAGTAGGAAGAAACAAAATTTTATAGTAACATGATATTAGTTTTTCCCATCTTTCTTTTGATGAGTTATGCCATGTATAAGGGAAAGTGACCAAAATGCCACGCTTTGACAAAAAAATTATCAGAATGCCACGCGAACAGTAAATTTTCCAATCTGCCACGCGGCATAATTCGCTACACAGTGTAGCGAATTATGTATGCAAGTAATTTGCTACACAGTGTAGCGAAATATGCCACGTCAGAACGCACAGAACCAAAAATGCCACATGTCAAATTTTGCAAAATTCGCTACACAGGGTAGCGAATTTTGCAAAATTTGACATGTGGCATTTTTGGTTCTGATGTGGCATATTTCGCTACACTGTGTAGCGAATTACTTGCATACATAATTCGCTACACTGTGTAGCGAATTATGCCGCGTGGCATTTTGACAAAATTTACTGTTAGCGTGGCAGTCTGGTAATTTTTTTGTCCAAACGTGACAAAATGGTTACTCTCCCTAGAAAAAGGGACCAATCCAGTACCGCTTGCTTAAACCTTTATATTTGAACTACTACCGTTTGGATGGCTTGTGCTTTTGGTTGTTATAGGTACGCATCAGGCATCTAAATGAACTGAATTCTTAAACTAATATCATCCCAAACATATTTCATGAAAGAATTTATTTACAATTAAATTCAGGCTTTTTTATTTTAGATACTCATAACCCATGATATGATAGAAAAGATGAAAAATAACATCCTTTTTTAATTATTTCTTCTTTCTTGATTTTTTTTTTCAGGTTTTGATTGAACAGTTGACAGCTTCTCCTTGAGACAATTTGCTTTTAATGATTTACTACGGATTAGTTGTTGAAGGTTAGTCATTTTTCAACATCTAATTTCAACTGTTCATTGCAGGAGCATGGATATAGACGTAGTCAGGTATAGGTGGAAAAAGTGTACAATTAAAATAATTCATCATTGTCAAAAATAGATTATCAAACACAAATGACATTTCTGGTCAACTATTTACTCAAGCGACCCCCATGTACACGTCCATGGCCGCATCCTCGTAAGAATTTAAAAGGTGGTTTTTTTTATCGAGTTTATGGGATTCCTGTGGCGAGATTTGAATCATTACATATTGAGTTTTTTTCTTCTTTGATCTCAAGTGTTTCTGGAAAATTCATTAGTAGTAACAATTTATCTTGTGTTCCTTATATCTAATTTCTTATCAAATGAATTTTTTTAGCAGTGAACCAGATGAAAGCTCACAGTTTGGGTTAAGATATTTGTCTCCTCTTTGGAAATTAATAAGGTCATTTTCATTGCAAAATTATCTCTATTTTAACTTGAATAATTAATAAGGTTATATGTGTTGGATGATTTGAGAGACGTTTGTCGTTTTACCCATTGTAACACTCTGTGTATATCCAGTTTGTTAACATGTCATCGTATTAAGTCACGCTTAATTAAAAATACGGAATATCTTTTTCTTTTCAATTATAACGTCATTATACTTAGCCAAGTTGATTACTTAATCATTTTCATAAAAACATCGCTTGTATATAAATTGCAAAAGACAGCTAACTGAAATACCTCAATATATAAATAAGTGAGTATCTAAGTCACGGATCTACGACACGCAGTCCGGACAATATCCTGATACATTAATACAACTCGCATCTAAAAACATAAAGTCAAGTCAATGTGGCATGAACAAACCCCATGCTCACCAAATAGACAACATAACCAACAGAGTCTCAACACAGTAATCCATAAAGCTAATGACATAAACGCTACAGACATAATCCAGCATCCAAGCATAGTCAGCATACATAAGCAGATAAACATCAATCAACTAAGCTCCGGCCTCCTGCCGCTAGAGGTTTCAACCCCTGGATTACCTGAACCTGAAATAAGTGCCCCAAACGTGGGGTGAGATCTCTAAACAGAA